TCCAGTTTCTCCCCGTATGAGTCTAGGTCCCCAGAGACTCACCCGGAACTGGAGTTCAGAGCAGTCGGGAGCTTGTGACTCTCTTCCGATTCAAAAAGACAGCCGCGTCCTCAGTTGCCAGCCCTTGCCGCGTGCGCCTCCGTACCTCTGCACTTTACTTCCGCACCTCCTCTGAGTCTCAGTGTGCTTTTCTCTTTCCTTCTAGTTGTAGAATTTCCACTCAGCCAGCCTTCCTGTGGTTCTGGATGATGTCTGTTTTGTCTTTTAGTTGTATTTTTGAAGTGGTTGTGCGAGGCAGCAATTTCCGGTGTTTACCTATGCCGCCATCTTGGTTTCTCCCCACACCCTCTCTTTCTTTCTGAGATAGGAGTGGGTTCTTAGTATTGGGGCAGGCAAAAGGGAGGGCAGAGCAGGGTAGATTCCCTTGATCACTATTTCAAAAAATATGTGCCAGGCAAAATGGTTGTCATTCATAACTGTTTTTGGCTGGTTTCTGGTTTCAAACCTGGGATATTTTTGGTTATTTGGAGTAGTTGATGTGACAGCTAGTTAATGGTAGGAAAGGCAATCTCTGATTCCTTTCTCTTTTAAGTAATTCTTTTACTAATTTATACTCCAACTTGTACTTTGGTAGGTGGATTATAAAAATGAATACAATAGAAGGTGATGAAAAATAAGTGAAGAAGTAGAGTCATTCCTTCATTCACTCATTTATTTATTCATTCAACACATACTTATTAAGTGCCTTCTGCATGCTAAGCACTGTTCCCTGTACCTAGAATATTTCAGTAAACAAAGCAGACAAACTTCTCGTCATTGTGGAGCTGTATTTTAGCCTGGGGTAAAAGGAGATAGACAGTAAATAAATGCCCGCATAAATATGTGACTTGGCAGGTGTTACTTCATGCTACATGGACAACAGTAAAGCCAGGTCAGGGATGAGAGTGGGAGCTGAAGAGGGAGTCGCTCTTTTATAAGTTGGCTCAGGAAGCCTCTCTGATGTGACATTTGATCTGAGACCTCCAGGAAGTGTGGCTTGAGTCATGTGACAGCTGCAAGAAGTTTCAGATAGAGGGAACAATGAGAGTAGAGCAAGCATGTCAAACTCGAGGCCTGCGGGCCACATGTGGCCCACAACGAATATTTTTGCGGCCCAGCCAACATAACGATATGTAAGAAATGTTTTAATAAAAATTTCCTAACTTAATTTTTATAATATCCTGTTATACATAACTAGAGGCCCGGTGCAAAAAAATTTGTGCACTCGGGAGGGTCCCTCAGTCCGGCCTGTGCCCTCTCACAGTCTGGGACCCCTTGGGGAATGACCACATGCTGGCTTAGACCCGCTCCCCAGGGGATGGGGCCTAAGCTGGCAGTCAGACATCCCTCTGGTAGCCCGGGAGCCCTCGGGGGATGTCCACTTGCCAGCGGGGAGCAGGCCTAAGCTGCAGTCAGACATCCTTAGCACTGCTGAGGAGGCGAGAGAGGCTCCCACCACCACCGCTGTACTGGCAGCCGTCAGCCTGGCTTGTGGCTGAGAAGAGCTCCCCCTGTGGGAGCACACTGACCACCAGGGGGCAGCTCCTGCATTGAGCATCTGCCCCTGGTGGTCAGTGTGTGTCATAGTGACCAGTCTTTCTGCTGTTAGGGTCAATTTGCATATTACCCTTTGATTATATAGAATTATTAATAACAAACTACAATGACTACAGTTCGCTAATGACTAATTACTATAATCATGTTGCATTCATTTTCCTTATGTGCCTTATGCACAGGTGCACCATTTCTCTCCACTGATACTAGCAGCAAATATTTTATCACACCATTAGTCTTGTACTGACTTGTTTGGTGTGCGCAACAGGAAATATTTCACTTTCGGAGAACAAGAAAAATTTGCGTTATGCATATTAATTTGTGCAGTTATTCAGTGTCTGGTAAGTTAATGTTCAAGAAAAAACAATTTTTATTAAAATGTTCTATTTTATGTTAACAATTACTCATTTATTTCATCCCTTTGTATTCAGCATGTCTCTATCGAAATAAACCTATGTTTCTATGGAAATTGAAACTTTTGTTTTTTTGCGGCCCACATAAACTTAACCCTTGTTTATTGGGCCCGTGTTAGCCTTTGAGTTTGACATGCTTGCTATACTCTATCTATGGTAGGCAAAATAAGGCTCCTTCACGGAGGTCCACACCCTAATCCCTGGAACCTGTGCATGTGTTATATTACATGGCAAAGGGACTTTGCAGATGTGATTAAAGCTGTGGACCTTAAAATGGAATTATCTTGTATTATCCCCGTAGGCCTGTGTTCGTCTCTGGGCTTCTGTACCAAAACACCATAGACAACAGAAATTTGTTTCTCACAGTTCTGAAGGCTCAGAAATCTAAGATCAAGGCACCAGCAATTCAGTGTCTAGTAAGAGCCTACTTCCTGGTTCATAGACAATGCCTTCTTACTGTCCTCATGTGGTAGAAGGGGAGTAGCTCACAGGCTACTGTAGGAGTAAATTTCACTCTGAGGTATAGAACACCATGGGAAGTTCTCTGACAGTAGTAACTACAATTTGAATTCCATTTCCAGACTCTGATAGCTGTACTGAGAAGAGTTGTAGGGGCAAGGAAGGAAGTAGGGACCCCAGTTAGGAGGCTCTTATAAAAAGCCTCCAGAAGAGAGATGATGGTGACTTGCTTGAATCAGGGGTTCCTAGTGAAGGTGGTAAGAAGTTGTTGGATTCTGGATATATATTGAAGGAAATGCTGACAGGATTTGCTGATGGATTGGGTGTGTGTAAAGTGTGAGAGAGAAGTTAAGATTTTGTCCTCAGTTATTGGAAGAATGGACTCATCATTGACTGAGACAGCTGAGGCTAAGGAGAGAATGTTCAACAAACTAGGAATGAAAGGGAACTTCCTCAACATGGTAAAAAGCATCTACAGCTCACATCTTTCTCAATGGTGAAGACTGACTGCTTTTCCCCTAAGGTCAGGAACATGACAAGGATGTCCACTCTTGCCACTTCCATTTAGCATTGTAACAGGAAGTTCTAGCCAAGGCAGTGAGGCTAGAAAGAGAAATGGAAAACATCCAGATTAACAAGGAAGAAGTAAACCTATCTCTATTGCAGATAACATAATTTTGTATATAGAAAATCGTAAGGAATCCACTAAAACACTATTAGAACTACTAATGTAGGAACAAGATCCATATACAAAATTCAATTGTATCTCCCTACATTAGCAATGAACATTCTGGAAATTAAGAAAATAATTCCATTTAATGCCATGAGACTGGATAAATCAGGACAGGGGAAAGTAAGTTCTGAGGTCATCACCACTGAAAGGTCAGGGAGATGAGGAGCCAGTGAGGCAGCTGGACAACCAAGAGAGGGTTGTATCCTGGGGGCAAATATTTGAGGAAGAAGGAGGTGATCAGCTGTGTGTGATGTGTTGAAGAGTGAATAAGCTGAGTGGGGATTCACAACTCAGGAAGGGATGAGCATGGGAGAATGGGAGAAGGAGGGGGACGGGCAGAGGTCTGCCTAGAACCAATACTTTGAAAAAATGCAATAAAGATTGAGTACTAGAAAAATGAATATGCAAGTCCATTTTTCCTTATTAGATTCAACAGACATGAATATTCTCAAATCATCATAAAAGGGTGTAAACACTCAATTTCTGTAATCGGTAGCAGTTTGCAAGTGGACTGGTACTTGTCCCTGGAATCCACTTTGTGTTGTGTAGGTCTAGGTTTGGCCAGGGGAGCAGGAGCTGAAATTCATTTAATGGAGAATCCTGTATCAAATGGCAGGAGGTGCTTGTCAGAGAAAAAAAACATCAGGTTCACCCTCTAAGAGGCTGTCTATGTCCTTGTTCAGAAAGCATGAAACCTGAATTTTGGTCCCATATAGTTTAGAATCACGAGCAAGTCAGAAATCACAAGAAGCATATTCCGAAGCACTGTCCCTTTCTATGAATGGTAACAGCTGTCTGCTGTCTTCCCTACAGTCCTGACATTTGTATGGTATTTTATTCTGAATTGCTCATTTAAGCCTCGTCCAACCTTGTGAAGTGGGTGGGTGTTTCATCTTTGTGAAGAAATGGGCCTAGAGAGATGGGACAACCCCTTTGCCCTCATGCTGCTTGAATGTGAGAGAGCCCGGTCTACCCTGTTAAACCCACGAATTTGCTGCCAGGTTGGCTGCAGGATTTTTACATCCCTTCCAGATACGAATTGAATGTCAGCTGTACGTTGATGGTTGATGTCCCACTCTGTTATGACTTTGAAGGTTGAATTTGGTGTCCCTTTGGGTGGGTTTGTGGGTGAATGGGTATAGCAAGGTAAGTAGACTTTGTCTTTCAATTTAAACAGTTGCTGGATTACACAATCATTGGCTTTAAATTCTGATCAGAAGTGCTGTTGGTTTTCTAGAAATGCTGCCTTGTGACTGTTGTTTCCTCTTTCATAGTGTACGAATTATTTGCATTCATCAGTCACATGGGAACATCTACAATGAGTGGCCATTATGTTTGCCATATCAAAAAGGAAGGAAGGTGAGTCTTTTTAGAAGGTAAATAATACATGTGTTTTATTGAGCGCTAGGCACTGTACTAGGTGCTTCATATGTTATCACATGTGGCTTTCACAATGGTCTTGTAGGATATACTCTTAAGGCCATTTAAGACACTGAGGCTCAGGGAGGCCAAATAGCTTGATCTTAGCTAGTAATTTCTTGTGTCAGAGCTGGTATCCAAAGCCGCTCTCAACCATCATGCCATCATACCAAGGTAATTTTCCACAGTAAAGATGCATCCTACAGCAGAATGTATGTCATATTGGAAACCTCCATAGGATTGCCAGATTAAGCAAAATAATAATAATAATAATAATAATAATAAAGGAAAACCAGTTGCCCTATTAAATTTGAATTTCAGGTAAAGGTAAGTGAATTACTTTTTGAGTAAGTGAATTACTCAAATATTGCACGAGACATACTTATACTGAAATATAATTTGTTGCCTACCTGAGATTCCGATTTGACGGGGTATCCTGTGTTTTATCTGGCAACACTGAGCGGTCAGTGCCTTGCTTTATTGCAGCCTTGCAGAAGGACTCATGGCACCTTAAGTAGAATTGTTAGGTGTGTGGTGAACTGGGAATGAGACAGATTGGGATGTGAGGCTGCACCTGTCTTCAGAACCCTTTCACTGGGCCAGGTCCCTGCAGGCCCCTCTGGTTTCCTCCCAGGAGCTCCCCACTGAGTGGCCTGGGGGTTGGCACTCCTGCTCAAGGCAGTGCTTGGGCCCTGTGGATGCTGAAGAAACATGTGACCTTGGCCTCTCTTAGAGGATGTTGACCTCTCACCCCATGCCTCGCACTGCAGCAGTGACCAGCTCTCACCCAGCATCGATTGTGTTCCTTTTTGCTGTATCTTTTGGTCTTGTTTCCACTTGCTTCATAAAATAGTTGAGCACAGAGACTTGATTTATAGTGAATTCCTTTTATTACCCGGCCTGATAGCTCTTTTAAAAATGCTTAAGAGAAATGGTTTAATTATAATTTAAAAAGCAATAAAATTCATCATAAGGAGTTAGTACAATATAAACACATACAAAAATATGTCATCTGGAAGCCTAGGGATAATCAATGTTTATATTTGGATATATTTCTCTTTGTTTTATTGTTTTCATTGGGAGAGGGTGTGTAAGACTATACACACACATACTACATATAACTATGCATATGTATTTATAACATTACTAAAAGTTTAATGTACATAACAGATATAATTTCATAACCTGCTTTTTCTCATTTTGTATTATATTGCAATTATTTTCTCAATTTAGCAAATATTCTTTGAAAACATTTTAATAGTTGTATATTAGTTCACTGCCTGGCTAATTTACTTCTGATTTTTAGTTAGTTTTATAACTGAGGCTGAAACAAACACTATTATACATAATTCTTTGACTCAACTGTTTTTTTAAAAATATATATTTTATTGATTTTTTACAGAGAGGAAGGGAGAGGGATAGAGAGTTAGAAACATCAATCAGCTGCCTTCTGCACACTCCCTACTGGGGATGTGCCCGCAACCAAGGTACATGCCCTTGACCGGAATCGAACCTGGGACCCTTGAGTCCGCAGGCCAACGCTCTATCCACTGAGCCAAATCGGCTAGGGCTGTTTTTTGTTGTTGTTGTTGTTTTGTTATTGTTGTTTTTTTAAAGAAACAGTTTATTTTTTATTTTATTTTTAAATATATTTTTATTTATTTCAGAGAGGAAGGGAGAGGGAGAGAGATTGAAACATCGATGATGAGAGTCATTGATTGGCTGCCTCCTGCATGCCCCCTACTAGGGATCGAGCCTGCAACCGAGACATGTGCCCTTGACCAGAATTGAACCCAGGATCCTTCAGTCCTCAGGCCAACATTCTATCCACTGAGCCAGACCGGTTAGGGCTCAATTGTTTTTCATTTGACTCAATTTTTGAGGTTATTTATGGATTTCTGCAAAAAAAAAAAATTACGAGATCAAAGGATTCAAAATGTTTGGAGGCTCTTTTAGTAACTACTTTTCGATTGAGCTCGAGACTTAAAAAGGAATGGTAATTTCCCACCAGCACTCTGTTCCCTTTTATATAACAGACGAGTTTGGTTATCTTAAAACATCTTGATTCTTTTATGCATGACGCAGTAACTTTTCTTCGGCAAAGTTTCCCGGAACTGACTTAAATTCATCAAATGCTTCTGTGTTTTGTTTTCAGATGGGTGATCTACAATGACCACAGAGTGTGTGCCTCAGAAAGGCCCCCTAAAGACCTGGGCTACATGTACTTTTACCGCAGGATACCAAGCTAAACCTCAGATGTACAAATCGGCGAGAAGCCATACGCCTTTTTAATTTGCCAAAAAAAAAAAAAAAAAAAAAAAAAAAAAAAAAAAAGTTGGGACAGCCAGACATGAAGGAATACATGGGGGTATTTATAGTTTATTTAAAGAACATCATTTGACGCCTTCTGAAATAGAACTGGGAAGACATTTCTATTAGCAATGATACACTACTGTAGATAGTTTTTCTTTTTATAAATGTTCGAGGAGAGAATGATTAAAAAGAGAAAAGTGTTCCTATTGCTGGTAGGGAATCTGCCACTGGCACGTGCCACCAGGAATGTGCCACCAATCCTCAGTTTTGCTTTGGGGGTCAGTGGTCTGGCCCCACCCACAATAAATGAAAAGCCCACTTTTGTTTCATAGTGAAAATCAGTAACTGGGCTGGGCTTTATTTGTGACATACTTTTTCCATTCAGTACAATAATTCCCGACCTATCTGTGTATAGTAAATGAGAGTATCTGCAATGAAATGTTTTTAATTTAATCCCATCACAATTCAGAACACAACTGTACGAATGTGTGTGAGACTGAGATTGAGAATCTCAACGAGGAAATCTGTGGCGGGTTGGTTTGGAAAGGTTAAAACAGTTGGCGTTAAGCATAGCTGGGAAAAGCAAGGACATCTTTTAAAGAAACCATAACTCAGGAACAGTTGAAAAAATTAGTTCCCTGCTTACATTTTCAGGCATAAACTGGATGGAGTTGTCCCTTTAAGCGCTGTCAAGAATTCACTTGGGTGTGCGACATTTGGTGGTGTAACGCCAGATGCCAGATGCCCAGAGCAGCACAATATTATTCTTTGCCAAAGGTAGATGGATTCTGTGTGTCAGCAGCCCTTCCCTCTAAGGTTTAGTGTGTATTTTTAGCTGATCGCTTCTTACCATCACACATGACAAGTCCTTGGAATCGTGCTAAGTGCCCCGAATTAGTCTGTGGTTTTTCTCCTCCCTGAGCTCTTTGCTTGCCTCCATTTCTACATTTTCTGGGGCCAGAGTCTCACCTCTGCCCTTTCTTGGCTAATCACCTCCTGACTTGCCTTCACTGCTTGTCTGCTGCCACCAACAATGCGATCTTGGGCACGTCCAGGGGTTCAGATGCAAAGAAACCTGGCATGATGTTACGAAAGACCATCGTTTCCACGTGGTACTTCAGCACGTTAATGGCAGCGTGGGATTAGAATTTCAGGTGGGATGAAAAAGTGGAAGGCTAGGGCCCTAGAGTTCTTCTACTGCTCTGCACCAAGTTCCAGTCTCTGGAGTTTCTATTTCAGATGATTCAGTCAAATGAAAAAGGATTTGTTGCTGTCCGCTTGACATGCCTTTGATTGGTAGAAAGGATCTTTTTAGAAACTGGAGGAAGATAAAATAGAACCAGTTGGGTGAAATACAGCACAGAAGTGGATTATGACCCAGGGAGCTATGAGTTATCAGGATTTGGTTATGATGGGGCCTGTCGCACAGAGATCTGTGAGCACAGAGCCCAAAGGCGGGTCCCGGAGCCCTGGGGGCTGCCTCTAGCTGGGCACGTCCCTCCTCCTCCTGTGCCTCACTCTCTTTGTCTGTACAATGGTATGATGACATCTCTCTTTTTCCAACTTTGCTTTGCAGACATGGTGAGATTGGATACCTTGAATCTTTAAAGAGCAGCAGGTGGTGTGCCATGCGGGGTGGTCCTAGTGGAGTAGGTTCCCTCCTCTCTCATTTGATGTTTTCTTCAGTTTGGGAACAAATGAGGTTGGCATAAGGAGGGAGCTCATGGTGCAGTCATTCTCTACGAAACTCTGCCCGCTGGGGTCATATTTAATGCTGACTGGAACTCTTTTACATGAGTCCTTGACTCCCGTACAAATCCCCACGCTCAGAAACCTTACAGAGTCTGGTCTCCTTAGGGCTGAGTGAGTATCCTGGAATAATGCCGCCAGACACATAAAAAATGACCAGTTTTCATGCTATTACAAAGCAAAGGCCTTTTTTAGGGGTGGGGGCATGATTGAGGATTTGGATTGAAATGTGGACAAAGATAGCATGTGTATTTTGCACAAAATAAAAATTTTATAATAAAACCTTGCAAAATGGATGGTATAAAATAAGTATAGAAAATTATAAGCGATACAATATTTAATTTAATTAAGCAGAAAAATTAATTTAGCCCTTTTTGATGCCTAAACATACTGTAAAAAAAAAGTAATATGGCTGCCTTTTTTTTTCTGCCTCAAAAAACAAAGGGCTATTTCTACAAGGCAAAGTTTTGTATATGGGCTATTCTTCATTTCAGATGGAAAATTGGGGGAAAACTGGAGCAAATAATGAGTTTCTTTCTGCTTAAAAAATGTATTTATATGTATTCCTTAATATATATAAGGCAGGTTTCCCTGGAATAAAAGTCTGGAACATACTGCTTAATTTTACACATGTATGTAGATGAAATTATTTGTAACTGAAAACTGGAATCAATAATGGGTTTTGTCAATTGATTATCAGCCTGTTAGGAGTCCTCTGTGTGAGGCGTGGTGGTATAATTGTGAATTTCTTACTGTGTGTGGGTGCACGTGTGAGAGAGCCCTTTTTCCTGTAAATATCTTTTGATATCCATTTGTGTAAAATCCCAATGAATGTGTCTTTGGAAAATATAATGTATCAAAGTTTTTATTTTGTCAGTTGATCTAAATGTCCATATAACTAATTAGAAATCTGGTTTGGTTCAAATTGGGGTATTTTTTTTTTTTAAGGGAAAAATAGTATACGGAAAGGTCTATTGGAAAAATCACATTTGAATGCTGTTTTGCATCAGCATTGGTTCAATATTTTGACTTAGCTGTTTCCTCCCACCTACAAGAGAATGTGCCTGACCTTCCCCTGGGCTCGCTTTGGGCTGCGGGAGGTCTAGTGTGAGTAGTGGGAGCCTGGGACTCCCAACACCATTTATTCCCCTGAGACCTGAAGTGGATGGAGCCGCAGCTGCAGCTTGTGGTGAGGGCTCCTGGGTTTGCATCCTGACTCCGCCTCTCAGTGTGATGGGGCCAAGTCACTACCTCCCTGGGCCTTTTTCTCTAAAATGAGTGGGTTAGACCAGATAAGCTCAGAAGTCCTTCCCTGTCCTAACAGTCGGTTCTATTTTTATTTTCCTCTTGGTACTACTGAGATCAGACTGTAAAATATGATGATCACATAGGTTAGATGCTATGTTTTTGATTTGTTACAGCTAACCCACCCCAGCTTAGAACCAATCTCATTTTTAGTGTTTCTATCCTGGCTTCTGTTCTACTTTCTTTGGTAAGTTTCCCATTTTCCCACCGTTCGTGAAACTCTCCACTTTCCAGTCCATGAGGTACGTTGTTACCATCCCTTTCAAAAAGGAAAAAATCATTTAGAATACTTCCTGCTCTGAAAAACCTCAGAACTACCTTCAGCTAAATCTGTCACATTTATACAATATTTCCTTTTAAAAAAATATTTTTATTGACTTCAGAGAGGAAGGGAGAGAGAGAAAGAGAGAGAGAAACATCAAAGATGAGAGAGAATCATTGATCAGCTGACTCCTGCACGCCCCACACTGGGGATCCAGCCTAGGCATGTGCCCTGACCGGGAATCGAACCCTGACCTCCTGGTTCATAGGTTGACGCTCAATCAGTGAGCCATGCCGGCCGGGCTATCCAGTATTTTCTTATTCTAATTCAATTCTAGCTGTGATCCCCAAATAAGTGCTAACAAAGTTGTCTACCACAGAAAGATGCATTTTTCATCTCGTAGGACCACCGTTGCTAAGTCACATTATCTGTGGGGAGATGACAGGTGACAGGGGCAGGACCAGGGGATAGGATTAGGTAAAGTGTGATTCTGTCCTTTACCTTAGGGCAGAAATCCTAGGTTACAAAACAAGGGTCTGTCTGAGATTGTCTAAGCTGGTGACATGATTACCACACCGTGGCTCAGAGATTCCCTACTCAGTACGTCATCCCGAGAGTTTGTATTAATATTCTCTAGACCTGCGCTGTTCAGTCCAGTAGTCAATAGTCATATGTGGCTAATGAATGGCCTCTTGAAAGTTGGCTTGTCCGAACTGAGCCTGTGCTATGCATATAACATGCACACCAGATTTTGAAGCCTTGCTACCAAAAAATAAAAGGGAATGTAAAATATTTTATCAATACTTTATAGTGATTACATGCTGAAATGACAATATTTTAGATATGTTAAATAAGATAATGAAAATTTAACTTGTTCCTTTTTATCTTTTTTAATGTGGCTACCCAAAAATTTAAAATTAGACACGTGACTCTCATTCTTCTATTGGGCAGTGCTAATCTAGACGTAGATGGTGCGGGGTAGGCAGCGCCCTGCCTTAGGTATGGAAGGTAATTCTCCGAAACATCTAGACAGAAGCAACATGAGCATTTTTGCTGGAGTCAGGAGCACCGTGAGGCACAGAATGCCTTCCAGAAAGCAGAAGATTTCTCTGTGTAAAAAAGCCAATATGTATAAGACCCCAATGAAAAGACAAAAGCAAATGAGCCCCAAACCCTGTTCCTTCGCTTTGCCTAGGAGCCTCTAACTTTGGGTTTATTTTTCAAACCACTGCCAGGTGCCAAGGATGTTAGCCACAGGAGGGTGCTGGGCATGTTTGTTTCTCTTTAGGCAACATTCTCTTGTGGTGTCCCCTCCCCAGGTATTGTTCAGTCTGCTCAGAGCCGGGCGTGGAGATACTGTGTAGATCTTGCCGCCCCAGACTCACCGCTCCTCTCGGCCTCGGCAGAGCAGGTTTCGATGTTGGCTCTCGAAAGCGTTTGTATTTATTTTATTTTGCACTAGTCACAGTTGGTGTTTAAACTATCTCAGATGTTTGGGGAGAGTATTTGCCTGTGATGCAAAGAGAGATGGATGATTTGTTGCTTCACTTGTTTTAAAATTAAAAGCTATTCTCACAATCTGAGGTCCCTTGATGACTCTTTTTTCTTTCGTTCTTTTGCAAAATGCCAGGTAAACGAATGCTCCTCTTTGTAGGTTCTCACCCATCAGTGGAACAGGTAACTTGAGACAGTGGCTAATTTTATTTCCTTTTAGGGTTTCTTTGTGTGGGCACCCAGGCAGCCTGGTCCCCATCCACATTGGAACATCTGTTAAGGAGGGAGGAGCCAAGGCAGGGAGGAGTCTGGTGTCCTTTAGACTTTCTCTACTGATATGTCCAGTTGAATATTGGGGTCAATCGAGACCTTTCTGTGGCTCCCTGACTCTCAATTTGCTGATGGCTTCCTTAACGCAGCAGAATCTACACTAGTTGCATCAATAGATTCCAGCATTTCTATGACCCCACCTTTCTAGGTTGTATAAGTTTCCCATGGCTGCTCTAACAAATGACCACAAAATTAGTGGTTGGGGGATGGAGGAAAAGGTGATCAGGAGTCCAGTTTGGGACCCGTTGAGTTTGAAATGCCTACCAGACCTCTATTTGATGTTGAGTAGGAAGCTGAATATACAACTCTGGATTTTGAGAGAAGTTTCCTCTGCCTGGCATGTTCTTTCCCCAGAAATAAAAATGTTTGGAATTATGCAAGGGCTTGGGAGAGGAGCCACATTCACCACTAAGTAGATGGACTTTTTATCTTATATAGAAGAGCAGTGAAGCAGGAAAGAGAGACATCCAGCTTGATTTTTACAGAGAGAATGGAATTCTACCAAGTGTGGCCTCAGTTCAATAGAGGGGGTAGTGAAGAGGGAGAAGGGGTGCTTCGGTCTCTTGGTGTAGTCAGTCTTCATCTGAGCCAGCTGTTCCTTCCATCCCAACCTCACCACTCAAGGACTTTAGTTAGTAAATGTTTCAGAAACACAGAAACGTCCATCTCAGTGGCATCTCTCCTCTGCTCGGAGGCGAATTTAAGAAGATCTATGATCTCCCACCTTTAGGGCATCTCCTGAGATCTCACCAGCTCACAGCCTTAACCACCCTGGATTCCTTTCTCCCTGAACACATACCAAGCTCATTCCTGCCTTGGCATTTTGCACTAGCTGTTGGCTCTGCCAGGAACGCTTGTCCCCAACTCCACTCAGCAGGCTTCTTGCCATTCAAATCTCAGCCCAAATGTCAGCCAAGAGGAACATTTCCTGACCACCTATAGATAATACCTTATATGTCTCATTCTTCTAGCACTTCGTAGAACATAATATTGTTTTTTTTTATTATTATTAAAGTACTAGAGGCTCAGCACGCGAAATCGCACGAGACCCTAGACCCACCACGCCACAAGACCCAGACTGGTCGTTTGGTCGTTACGGTGTTATGGCCACTGGCCTTTTATAATATAGATTTGTTGATCCCTCACAGAAATCTGAATTCTTCAAGTGCAAATTTGATTTAATTTACTTAACCACTGTCCTGCACTAGAACAGTACCTGTACATAGTAGGTGCTTAAATATTTATTGACCAAAAAGAAAAAGAAAGACCCTAAAACAAATATATTTTAATGCTTTTATTCTAAAAAAAAATCACAAAATCCAAGTTTAGGTTGAATAATATTTTAGTCTTAAAAAATTAACAAGGAAGATTTTAAAGTTTTTGTTTCATATCTAAAAATGCACTCCTGATTTCCAGTTAACTCATGCAAAATCATATGTAGTGATGGTCCACAAAAGGACCTTTTAACCAGTAGTAAAAATGGATTCTATTTGAATTGAAGCAATTCTGATCCCCAAATCTCATTTTGAAAGATTTCTGAAAAGATCTTGAAGCCATAAGTTTATTTGAAAACATAATTTAAAATTACCCAAATATAAATACAATTTAATAATGTGAAAAAGGGAAGGCATGCTTCCAATAATGGTACAAAAATACTACCTGAATCTTAGTACTTTATAAATTATAAGCCAACCGAGTAAATTAAATACATCAATATAATAGGTTATTTTTGTGGTAGTAATTTTATTTCAAAGAGCAACACAGGGAATTATTAAGAAGAAGCCTTAATACCAACAGAGTTGTCCTATGACACATAATATTTCATTAAATACACAGACATATTATCATGTAGTGTGCCGATAACTTTTACACCCCCCATTGCCATTAATTTACTATAGGTCACTTAATTTGGGTTGGTGTTAACTTAGAAACAATGTAAACATTTAAAGTTAAATTTCTCTGTTATCTATTTTAGCTTAAAAATGAAATCCCAAGATTTTAAACATTATTGAGCATAATAAATAAGGAAGCATCACAGAAGAATTCCTCTCAAAACAGTATTTTTAGATTAGATAGATATACAGTATCCATAGATATACAAAATATATAGAAATGTCTTTTCTAAATAGTTAATAAATGCTTGTTACAGTTTGTAAAAAGTTTACTAAATTAATCAGTTTTTTTTTTCAACCCATGTAAACAAATTTGCGTAATGAAAATGGAAGAGGGTTTGGGTGAGATGACAGGGAAAATGGAAAGGAAGTTGGTAAAAACTCAGGTTTGCTCTATTTCCTTTACACACTGGTAACATTTTCAGTCACAAACACGTTCCTCACAGGGTGCAATTCCTTTATGGTATCTATGCGAACATTTTCCTTATCTCAGTGAAAGTGACAAATGACCTCGTTGAGTGTCTATCCCTTATTCCTTTTTGTGTCGCACCATTTCACTCAAATAAAAAGAGCACATTTTATTGTTGAGCAAATTGTCCTTTTTTCCATCTTAATATTATTTTGAGTGCAGGTTTCTAAGGGAAGTGTCCCACCCTGTAACATTGCAAGTTCGTTTTCTCTTGTAGAGAAGGTCGTGAGAAAACAGTTCTGAGATGGGGTGCTTGTTTCTAGAGGGTGTTTTTTTTTCTTCTTCTTCTTTTTTCTCTTTTGGTATTTCTGTAAAGGTTGCAAGTAGCGAAAACTTTATTCAAGGCAAAATACCACATGTGAGTTTGTTAAACCTCACACTTTAATTTTCGTTTTTTCTCCTCTTAACTCTTCAATGTCTCCACACAAAGGTCTTTGCTGTGTGTTTGGGAAATACTGTCTTTGAGCTCATATGTGTGTGTGTGTATGGGGAGTTAAGGGTGGATGAAATGGTGACAAAGCTGTTCTAACAGAACCCCTACTGCCTCACTGAGCTCTGCTCCCTCCACTTCTGGTCTCCTTGTCCTGATTTCTTCATATAGCAGGGATTACAGACAAAGGCCATGAGAAGACTTCAGAGCTGGTCTAAGTGACCGTGAAACCACCTCATCATCCCTGAATTTCAGTGTTTTTAGACATATTGACCAAGTCCAGCTTCTTAAAGGACATGGATTCAAGTAGCTCACCTACCATACAAATGGGAATACGTTGAGGACATGGTGTGGCATCTACACATTTGCTACATGACATTTGTGGCTATTAAGGCCCCATGTTCATTTCCCTTATAATGATTTTCATTTACCTGGCATTACTCTAATCTCTACCTTATTTAGAATCTCAGTATTTCTAAATTTATTCCTAAACTTTTGGAAAATGTTTGAAATGCACTATTCAGCATTCAGAACCCAAAACTGAGCTGAAGCAATCAACACAATTTTGTTCAGTAGCCTTCGGATACGTGGATTTTGCTTAAGTTTTAGATCTGTGTGCCTCTACTGGTCAGAGGAGTAGTTTGGCACTGGCTGCAACGCTGCATAAACCAGACATGTGGATATCTGTCAAGTTCAGTGTGACGGCATGAAAACAATCTCAAGGATAGGATATTAAAAACAAATAGAAAAACTGTAACACAAAGTTCATGAAAATGCTTCCTTGTTCAGAAGCAAGGAAAAATAAGCTAACCCATGCGGCGTAATCATGCACTGGGTAAGTTCACATTCAGTAGTGTTGTCTTGCATGCTTTGGTTAATATTTGAGTAGGCAGATTTGCGAGGATTAATGCATGCGTTACTTCTGCACCTGAGGTTATATGTTTCACTTTTTAAAAATTGCCTTTTTACAAACCTTATGCCAGAGTTAATCTCCGACACTCTTAAAAAATATATATATGTATCTACTTAGTTCAAAACAGTTTATAGTTCAACCAGTTCTGCAAATACTGAGAAGGTAAATTGGGCAGTAAAATCCAGAGAGGGAATGCATTTGGAATTATTTAGAAAGGTTAAACTTAGGTGTGTGCATGTGTAGTCATTTCTAAAATAAGAGGCCTCGAAAAGATGGCACACGAAGGAAGCCTTCAGAATACCCTGCTTCGAAAAAGCATTTCAAGGTGTAAAACAACAGCAACAACCAGGTGAAAATACAGCCCGGTTCTGTGGAACTGATTCAGGGACAAGTGAAGAAGGAGCACAAAGGGAGCTTGCTTTTATATTGCCAAGGAGCTCACAAAGTTTATGGGAAGTAGTTTGGGAGCTCCTGGTACAAGTGGGGCTAGTACAATTGTGTTTAAGTCTTGCTTGTATAGCAACACTATACTAGAAAGATTGATCTAGTGCAATTATCTGGACATGGACCCAAGATTCAACTCAGTAGCTCTTGATTATTATGCTAAGTGAAATAAGACAGTCAGAGAAAGACAAATACCATATGATCTCATTATATGTGGAATCTAATAAAATAAACTGGCGAACAAAATAGAAATAGAGGCATGGATCCATGGAACAGACTGATGGCTGTCAGAGGGGTTGGGGGAGGGGGACTGGATGAAAGAAGGTGAAGGGATTAGCCAAAAAACATACATGCACAACCCGCAGACATAGACAACAGTGTGGTGATGGGCAGAGGAAATGGAGGGCGGGGTCAGGGGCTCGGCAGAGGTGGGCAAAGTGGGGGAAAGTGGGAACATCTGTAATAGTGTTAACAATAAAAATAAAGTAAAAAAAAAAAGAATGAAGAAATGGCATAAAACTGTGGAAATGGGTGTGTCCTGGACTTTCCAACCCGGTTAAGTATCACTAATTTGCTGTTTTAGTTAAAACGCAGGTTGGCTGAGAAAGCACAGCTCACAGTTCTCTATGAAAGTTTCTTGGTGAACAAGATCTGCCTTTCTTTCAAGGAGTCATGGGGCGTGATTGTGGGAGAAAGCAAAGGGAATGGTGACTCAATATGATTAATCCAGTAAGTGACACTTTACTCCTTCCCCTCCCCTCTCCTATCCCTCCAACTCCTCCTCACATTGAGGTCTACAGCACAGAGAAATAGCCCGATAGACATAGTTATAACCTATTTTGAAATTCAGCAATGATCACTGGCCTTCTCTGCATTTTCATCTAATCTCCTGGTGAAATTGGTCCTTGAAAGGCCACTATGCATTTGAGTGGCCACTCTTGTAAAATTGTACCATCTTCTGAGAGATCTTGGGCTGCTACTCGGTAATGCAAGAGAGAAGATAATCAAGGCCTTCCCAGAGCGCTTCCAAGGGAACCAAGGCCATCCTTTCAAATGGAAAGAGTAATATAAATGACAACTTTACACCATTACGATAAGATACCAAAAACAATTTTTCTTTTTAAAAAAATGTGTATAAACTTAAGAAAAAGATGTATACAATAAAGACTGTTCTAAGATCTTGCTACTTACTTTTTGGTGTTGCTCTGATTGCTATAAACTTTCACTTGCTTTTAAGTAACTGTTTTAACTTAATTTTATTAAAAATATTATGAAAAAATGTCTTGGGCAATAATTCTGCACCTCCTGACAGGTAATAGCTTAGGAAAATCTTGGTTCTGATGGGCACTAGATATATTGGAGAAAGTCCTACCAAATGCTCTGCAAATGACCAAATTATGAAGGGAATGGAAAATTGTTCACTCTCGCTGAAAACAATTCCTTGGAGTTTGAAGTTGCTTTATATTCAAATAGCAAAATAAAACGGGGGCCCCAAATTTGCCAGTACTTAGCAACAATCAAGTTAAATAAAAACAGTGCACATTTACCCAACTGTCAGGCTTTAAATTGTTACTGATCTCATGTACGTAGTGGCAGCAAAGCTAATAAAACAGTCTATTATTATTGCAAATCTAGTTACTATTGAAAGTCTAGAATGTTGTCATAAACAGAACTTTTGTGAAAGTGGCTTTGAATCCTTTGTTTAGAGGTTCCTAATGGACTATGACGGATGCAAGTCAGCTGGCCAGCGTGGATGCACAGGGATACGGAGGAGGAAGGAACGTGCCGAGAAGGGATGCTATTCGGTCAGGGATACTCAACCAGGTAGCTACATTGGTTGGAGGCTGGCCCCATGAGTCCTTCCCAGGCCGGATTTCTAGGATTCTGAAATTCTGGAGAATACCATTCTTGAAAATCTTGTTGAGCTTTTCTTTGCCTCTGAGCCTGCAGGAAAGTAGGTCAAGATTGGTTGTCACCGCTGCCCAATGGTGAATGCCTCAATGCCTTGCCTCCTGCTGGTCCTGCTGGAGGTGTCACCTCACCCGAGTGAGCTTTGACAGTGAACAGCAAAGCTGCCACCACATGCCCTCAACTTTTTGTCTTTATAAACTAGAATAGGTTATAATGTATGTAAGCCTCAAGGATTTGTGGTTTCATGTTTACCTGAGGCCCTGTCCTATGCCAGGGACTTTGAATGTAACAGAGGAGACCATTTCTACCTGCACCCTGAGTTCAGTATGTGTGCAGTAGAAGCTAACTCCCCAGTCAATTGAACTATCTTGATCCAAATGCTGTTTTTTCCTGGTTAACTATAATCATGAGTAAAACCAGCTATTACTAACCAAAGGGCATGAAGAAAAGCTGGGATCAGATTGCTTTGGGAAGATTCTGAAGGAAGCAAACTGAAGAAGAATGGGACAACTTATTAGGACTTATTAATGGGACAAGTTACCGGAACTGGGCATTGGTGAAATTATATTTTGGTTAGCATTTTGCAAACAATTTTTCTAATCCTTTCAAAAGTGATGTCTTTCTCAATAATTGCTGAGCGCCCAACAAGCACAAAACACGCTGAAGAACTGAGTGGGATGGAACCAATGGAATAAAAGACCATTGCCAACGGGAAGTCCTAGTACTTGATAAATATTCAAGAGGAGAGCCTAGGGGCTTGCATCTTTCATGTGAAACCCCTGATGTTCAGGGAGATTCAGCTCGAAAGTGCTGATCTCTGTCACTTGGAATGCAAAAGGGTGAGCAATGAGATTATGATGGAACTCAGAAAAACACAATTTTTAGGAAAAATGTATTTATCACTCTTAAGAAATGCCATTTAAAATATTAACAATTGAAAAGGAATATCATTGTGCAGGGCAGTTAGTAAGCAAGTAAAATATGACATTTAAGTAAGTTAATGTTAACTCATTAGAAATGACGACATCATCAAACTTCCGTCCTGCAGAGAATGCATGAAGAAACAGTGTCTTACCTCTTGCTTAAGGTCAAACAGTCTCAGACAGCACGTGAATAAGATCTGTGTTTGCATATTTACACCCTATGTCACATCTGCTTTGAGGAAAACACTCCTTCAAAACCCTACACTGTGAAAAACTATTTTCAGGAATTTTTATTTGGTCCATTGAGCTAACAAGGCTGAGTTCCCAAATCTTATCTTTTTCCCCCCCCCCCCCACGTTAAAAATTGGAGCAACAAAACAAAACTCCAGCAAGGCATAAATGAGATATTAAAGTGCATATATACAGTCCCAGAAAAGTTTTGATTGGGAACAGCAAAAATTTCTAGTGCAAAAACTGCTTTTGCCAGCAAAGCTCCTTCTCTGGAATCAAAAAGCTACAGTAAAAGTTAAAATTGGAACGGGTTTAAGCAATGCCTCTTTTTAGTCGAGTTAATATTTGTGCATGCACCTCGGCCCAAACTATGTTCAATCTTCTAAAAGGGGGAATTTTAGGGGACAGTTCAGAAATAGTCAGAATTCCCTGATCTGAGGCAGTGCTTTCTCCAGGTGTCCCACGAGCAAGTTCCTTAGATGTGTCATCAGCCGCAAGTGGGGACGAAAATCCAAAGAAGATGTTTTGCGACAGGCTTGCAGCTTGTGGAAAGAGTATTCACATAGTTACTTCATCTTGGTTAGTCTTGAGCCTCTCGCTTCTTCTTTCGAGCCCGACCTTGACTCTATATAACATTTTGTGCTTTGGGATCTGAACAGAGACTGGGCATTGTCTGTAGGAATTCCCTCAGGCTCTATCACCTTGGCCTTTTGAACATCCGGTGTCACCATTTTGGAATTCATAATAAAATAGGTTTGCATTTCTGAGTACACATATGGACAGGGATTATTATTTTTTCTTTTCTTTCAAGGATCCAAATTGAAAGCTCTTAGGAGGACATCCAGGTCACCGAGATTGGCCGCCTGGAAGAGTTCTGGTTGGTCCATCAGAGACAGTGCGATTCTGAGGGCAGCCCAGATGTTCCCGGAGATGGCAGGATGAGGAACTTGCTGTTGATTCCGGCTTTTCCTCTGCAGACTGAGGGCAGTGAGAAAATTGCTGACCGCTTCTCTAAGAGGGGAGAAAAACAGTCATTTACAAATGCAACGCATTTCAGAGTTAGCAAATAAGACAACAAAAAATGGATGAAGTTATTTTAGTCTAAAATCCTAAATCACCTTTCTATGGTGTGTGGGCTCATCAGATGAACAACTTTCTGATTCTGTCATTACTCTTTTGTGAAAAATCATCGTTTAATGTAGTGAGATAAGAAAGAAAAAAGCAAAGCAATTTTTATTTAGGAAAATCATGTGGGAGAAGAAGAATAATGGCATTGCTAACTCTTCAATGCATCCACTTTTCTCAACTCCAAGAATGACTTGAAGACGTTGGCCATTCACAGATGTGGTTTATATAACTAGGGTTGAAGAGGCAACATTTGGTCCCACTCAGAAACAAAGTGTCTAACTTTTCCTATTAGTGGTAGAAATATGGGGAGAAGCAGGGGTTGAGTTCAGTTTCTTATCAGAGAATCTGGGCTTGTATCCCATTATGTAACCGTAGGCAAATTTTTTTATCTTCGACAAGCCTCAGTTCCCCCGACTATATAATAGGGAGAATAGACGTCATTTTAAAACCTTGTGAGGTGCAGTCAAATCATTTTATGTGAAAACTCTTATCATTAACTTAAATTGTTCTCAAAGTGTTGTTGGAGGAACCCTGAGGATCAATGAGGCCAAAATAATTTTTAAAGTAATCCTGAGATGTTATTTTACCTTTTACTCTTATTCTCTCATGAGTGTACACTGGAATTTTCTAGGGACCTCATGATTTACAACATCCCACAGATTGAATGCGGAAGCAGAAATGAGTCTTCTTTTAAGCAAAATATTAATAGATTCACAAAAATGATAAAAGAATGCCACTCTTCACTAAACACTTATTTTTGTTTTGTTTTTTTTTTTAGGGGTAAAATATGTAATTTATATTAACATGTAATTAGTTTATTATATTTAAATGAATCTTTCAAAATTTTCTGTTTAATTTCTAATATGGTAAAAATTCATAGATAAAACGCACATAAGAAAAGCCTTTGAGGTTCTCAGTAGCTGTTAAAAATGTAAAAGATGTCTGGCTTGTGTGGCTCAGTTTGTTGAGTGTCATCTCATGCATCAAGAGGTCGCCAGTTCAATTCCTGGTCAGGGCACATGCCCAGGTTGTGGGCTTGATCCCCAGTAGGAGGCATGCAGGAGACAGAGTTTATTCTCATACTAGTGGCCCAGTGCCCGGATTTGTGCACATTGAAAGTAAATTAATTAGAAGAAATATTTTAATGCCACTATTTGCCTTTCTCTATAATAGAAGTGTCAACCAAATTCATGATTGACAATGACAGACTGAAACACATGCGTGTGATTGGCACCAGAGAGAGCTTTATAAGTATCATGCATGTGCGAGTCAACTTAGCCTTTTATATATATATAGAATAAACTTGCTTAATTAGACCTGCTTTCTGATTTAGCTAAACTTTTTCCAGCCCAGTGAAGCACCCCAACTTCTGTTTCAGGTAATTGTCAGCAACACAGCAGTAAATATCAACATGAAGCAGATTATTACTGTAGATCATGCAGGGAGAACAAAGGGTACAATATTTAACTGAAGCAGTATTTGACTATATTCTGTGCAGTGACAAAACCTGAAGTCATTTTCAAGGTCCACCATTTCTTACTTCTTTTCAGTTGGGTCAAGTTTCTAAACTTTCTAAATCTCTGTTTTCTGGCTAATGAAAAGAAAATAGGGCCCTAACCGGTTTGGCTCAGTGGATAGAGCATCGGCCTTCAGACTGAAGGGTCCCAGGTTCGATTCCGGTCAAGGGCATGTACCTTGGTTGCGGGCACATCCCCAGTAGGGGGCGTGCAAGAGGCAGCTGATCGATGTTTCTCTCTCATTGATGTTTCTAACTCTCTATCCCTCTCCCTTCCTCTCTGTAAAAAATCACTAAAATATATTTAAAAACAAAAAAAAGAAAGAAAGAAAATAGGATTCCACCGAGTCTCCTATCTACCTACTCCAGGACTTCTGTGAGGATCAAATGAGATGAAGCATAGGAAAATGCTTCATAGACATTTACAAAGTGTAAAATGTTTCCACCTGGCTATAAAGCAAGTCGTGCTCCTGGTCTAAAGAAACTCCAAGGAGGCTAGTTGCTAGGGAGAGGAAGCCAGGCATTGCTACATGACGTCATTACCTGGTGCCCACAGCGACCGTTTCCGGGCTGGGCTGGGCTGTGGGCCACATTTTATGCCATGGGGTCTTGGCAGCGTTGGCTGCGACTTGGTGGGCTGTCGCTCCGGAGTGGCGGCGGGGCCTGTGTCCCACTTGGGGGAAGCTGAGTGTTGATTTGTCAGCACCAGGTCTGCGGTGCCATTTCTTTGTAAATGGCCAGTGTGTGTCATGGCAGCTCCTGCATTGTCTGCCTCCTGGTTGTCAGTGCGCATCATAGCGACTGTTTGGATGGTTGGAGGGACATGTAGCACATTAGCTTTTTATATATATAGATTATGATTTATTAATTATTGTATTATTTTCCACACTAACAACTATAAACCTACTTTTGCCCACCTGGTATTATTATCAAAGGGGATGAGATTTATTTTTTCATTAAAAAGGGGTCCTCACTTTTGAAATGGTAAGATTCCTTGGTCTAAGCTCTACTCTGGTGCTCCAACTGACGAAAAGGTAGCATTTTAAGCTGTATCCTCATTTCAGGCCAACAACTTCCTCTCCTTACTTCAACTGTACTAGGGTAGGGTGTGCCTTTGACTTCTTATAGAAAGTGTGAGATGACAAATAGTGAGTGTTATAACGTATACACACACACACCTGCAGTTCTTAAGGGGCACGTCCCAGACTTTGTACCAGCTCCTGGCTCTCCTCTGAGCCACATCTCTATTGAGGGTTGTTATTTCCTACACATATGCTTACACCCCCAAGTTAAACTTACTTTCAGAATTCATTTTGTGTCTCACTTGATGATCTTTTTATTTTTTCAGGAAAAAAATGCAATATGTTTATCACTTCACAAGCTTTCCCATATCCAGCATGACAATGTAAGATGTACAAAACAGCCGAGAAATTCCAAAGTTGCTATTTGATCCAGATGGACAGACTTAGCCAATAAGAATATAGGATGCACAGTTAAATTTGAGTTTCAGATAAAAACAATGAATAAGTTTCAGTATAAGTATGTCCCATGCAATATTTGGGAAATATTTATACTCAAATTATATTTACTATTTATGTGAAATTCCTACTTAACCACGCATTCTGTATTTTATCCAGCAACTTTAACATTGACTTGCTTTTGGCCTGCTTGAGGATTAAAAGTCCACACCTCACCAGGGTTGCCCATTTCTACTTGTCATGGACCTTCGGGGATTCCTGCAAATACTTGCTCTACTGAGGCTTACATCTGTGATTGCCAAGCAAGTGTTCTATTGGCCCCTCAAGTATGTTTTCTACATTAAGAAGTTGCAATAACAAAAAAATAAGAAAGCTCATCCATCTTGGCCAGTATGGCTCGGTGGTTGAGCATTGACCTATGAACCAGGAGGTCACACGGTTCAATTCTCGGTCAGGGCACATGGCTGGTTGCGGGCTCGATGCCCAGTAAGGGGTGTGCAGGAGGCAGCCGATCAATGATTCTCTCTCACATTGATGCTTCTCTCTCTTCCTCTCCCTTTCTCTTTGAAATCCATAAAAGTATATTTTAAAAAACAAAAAAAGGAAAAAACTCATCCAGGAGCCTTACAAAAGCCTCCTTTAATTGAATTCAATGTACCCACATGCACTTATGTATTCATTTGCATCTCTCCTTGTTCCAAAAAAGGACCTAAGTTGTCTCATAAAATATACCTAGAAAATAAGTGAGTAAAATGCGTAAAGATAAAAGCAGGTTGGGGACATCAGAGGAAGCCAGGGATGAAGTTAACATACAAATGGACACTGTCAGGCCTGAGAGGCGGATGTGCAGGGATGGCCCTCCGCACAGCTGCTGTCATGAGGACCTCAGCAAGGTCACAATGTCCACCGCATAAAACAAACCGGTTGCTCAGGGGTCGCTCAGGTTTCCTGGTTTTGACCCGAGCAATCAGTGACTGATGAATGTTCTTTCTAAGATCCCTTTATTATAAATGTAGCTTCTAGTTTCTAAAGCCTCAACATTTGTCAACGGCACAATGTCCTAAAGCAGTTCAGAAACAGGAATTCTTCAGATGGCAAAAGGATAATAATAACAATAATGATACTGTTATAATAACAGTATCTAAATAATAACAATGATACTGCTGATGACAGCAGTAATAGTCATAATACCGACTCCTGCTAGGTATTGAGCATCTGCGCTGTGCTGGGCAATTATACTTAAACTGCACAATAATCCTGCAAGATAGACATTATTACTCTGCCACCCCCTTTTTTGAAGCAGGTGAAGAAATTGAGGCTCACCGTTATGTGCTCAGAGTCATAAAACCAAAAAACGGCAGAACTGTGACTTGAGTCCAAGCTTATCTGATTCTAAAAGCCTGCCTCCTTCTGGGAATGAAAAAGGGTTTGCGTTTTTTTGGTGGGGGTTTAAAACTGACATTGAGTTCTCTCTCTTTTTCCAGTTATGAAAGCAATACCAGTTTACTTAGAAAATAGGAGGAAAAAAAAGAAAAAGAAAGAAGAAAAAAATCACCCGAACTTTCATTACACAAAAGAAACAAAGGTCGAGGAGAAACCAAGATGGCGGCATAGGTAAACACTGGAAATTGCTGCCTCCCACAACAACTTCAAAAATACAACGAAAAGACAAAACGGACATCATCCAGAACTACAGGAAGGCTGGCTGAGTGGAAATTCTACAACTAGAAGGAAAGAGAAAAGCACACTGAGACTCAGAGGAGGTGTGGAAGTAAAGTGCAGGGGTACGGAGGCTCGAGCGCTCGGAAAGGGGCTGGCACCTGAGGACGTGGCTGTCTTTTTGAATCGGGAGGGAGTCACAAGCCCCCGACTGCTCTGAACTCTGGTTCCGGGAAGTCTCTGGGGACCCAGGACTCGTAGGGGGAGAAACTGGACTGGCTGGCAGCAGGCAGAACTCGGAACTTGAGGGCAGCTTTCCCTCAGAGGTGCTTGCAGCAATTACC